TTTGCTTATTTTATTTATTTATTTTTAATAAATGATATACACATGATATACACATCGGAGGCATTATGTTGAGGCTTGTGGAGAAATTAGACAGTAAGTATTCAGAAATTGAACATTTGAAAATTTTAAATTACTGTAAGGAATAATAATGTTTTGTTTGCTAGAATTAATTATTATTTTGCTTATTTTATTTATTTATTTTTAAAATTTTATTTTAATTTTTTCAATCCAACTTAGGGTCTGTACATGTATACTGTTAGCGCCTTGAGACGATTTTATTGTGGAAGGCGCTTTACAGATATCCTACCACTACCAATGTCATAAGCTTTTTGGGGTGTTCATCAGTGTTGTAACTATCAGGATTTGAGTGCTGGCTATTGAGGCCGGGGTCCAGAGGCCCGCTTAAGGCCCCGGTGGGGTGCATGGGCAACGCCCCATTGGGGGTCAAGGGGCGAAGCCCCCATTGAAGCTGAAAGGATTTAGCTGTTTTATAATAATTTGGAGAGCTCTCTCACCTCTCTCCTAGCATGTTTTCACATACCATTTTCACAAGTTATTATTTGTTTTTTAAGAAATATTTTTAGTTTTTTTTTTTGTACAATGACTCACTACATAATTATACTTCAGTGTCAAGTACAGTATTATAAAGGCGCCTTTTAACCGGACTATTGTCTCAGTGCGTGAAAGTGCATTGCTTTCGATTGGGAAAAATTACTTTTTTAACCATACAGTATGCATCTCTCAAACTCCCTGCAATATACATGTTCAGGAAAATGCTCCATGAAACCGCTCTTTATTTTTTCATATTTACAATTTTGATTGCAAACAGTACGTTAAAATGTACTAATAAAACCATTGGAATGGAAAGATCTAGTTTTGTATTTTATTTGCTTGAAAAACTTCTTGGTTGAATGATTTCTTCGATCTTCAGTAAGCTATCTTTTGATTGATGAAGCTCAGCTGGCTTGTTTTCATTGTGACTTACGATGCATGTAGCTAGTGCTTTGCGGCCCCAGCAGTGTGTTTAAAACTGGTACGGTAATACTCAATCAAAGCCTACCATATGTACGTACGTCGTACTGACATGTTACACCATGTACGTTTTCGCTTGGAGCTGATAAATTGTGATTTTGGCAGAAGTTCCCGTCCAATCATTGCTGATGAAAACTTTTCATATATTTCGAATTGAACACTACAATAACAACACTCATTATTTTTACAAGGCTTTATTGTATTCAGAAATACGAATGTCATAGGCTCATAGTGGTATATTTCTATAATTAATTATTTATACTAGTACGAACCATCGGCTTGGCAATCCGACTGGACATCACATACAACCATGTACATTTTCGTGATCTCCGTGTTTTGTTATTTTTTTAAACGTGGTTGGACAGCAGAAGGGCCATATTGCATTTAAACGCGTCATGAAAATAATTATTTCAACAACCATTGATTAAATGCTGTAGAAAAATGTGGAAATATAGTAATACTGTATCATTTTGTCGTGTTATCCAAGGCAAGCTAACTGGGGTAGGTTAATTTGGGCTAGCCTAGTTAGTACTAGTAATAATAATAAGAAGTTACATTTATATAGCGCATATTGCACAGTGCCTCTATGCGCTTTACATAAAATTATAGAAATTATAGAAAAGATGTTGAATTTACAATATAATAGGGTGTGGTGTAGTAGTAATAGTCAGAGAGAGACAGCTAGCAGGCTGCAGGTCGCATAATGTTCGCCACCGTTCGTGATTTGGAATTGTAAGTACGAATAGGTTGATATCTAACTGGTGTAAAATAGGAAGCATCCCCAATTTCGGGATCCAAATTTTCGACTTTTCACATCGGAATATATGGTATAATATATGAGTGTGATATTTTAATATTTTTACGCACATTTTGTGCCACTGCCAGTCGGATTTTCAAAATTTGTTCTCTGTCCCAGTTACTAGATGCTAGTGCCAGTCATACCCCGCCAGCGCCAACCGGCGTAGCTACAACGCCAGTGTTCATAATTTAATTGTTTCAAAGGTTGAATTACGGTTATTTAGCTTTGCATTTTACAACTGTCTTCATTAATTCAGTATACAGTATTCATGGAGCAATGCATACCAACTTATTTGAAAAAAATGTAGAAAACATATGCCCAATAGACAGGACTCAAGGCCATCCTTGACAGACAAGGGAATAATGTAAAGGTGAAAGCATATGGACACCAGAGAAATGGTATACAGTAAGTAATTTTTAATGTACAGTACTGTAGGAAGTACAATAGTGTTGCTCTGGTTGAATTCCATTAAAAGTCTACTAACATGCTTGTTTTTTTTGTGTTGATTCTTTGACAATTTTAGTATAGATTGTATTCAAATGCTATTTTTAAGAATACAATTTTCCATGAAGGTTAAGATTTTTTCCAACCCTCACAAAAAGTGTGATAAATAGTGCGTCAATATGCGGTGTAAAGTTTGTACAGTATTGCCAGGTAGGTAGGCCCTGTGGAAGAACAGTGGATTTCCTATTGAAGACGTTCCCCAGTATAAAGAATAAAGAAATGAGAACTAAAATAAAATTAACAGTAGGCCTTACATTGAAATAGACATATTTTAAATCACAATGTCCATCTAGTAACACAGATTATCACAAAGCACTTGCAATTTCAATAAATATCATATATATAAATGTACACCCTAATGAGCTACAATAAGCTAGTAAATAATACAGTAAAACGTCCATTTTACGTACCCCTTGGTACCAAGGGGTGTTCGTAAATTGAAAAATTTGTAAACTAGATCAGGTGTCAGTTTTCAATACCTAGTCCTACAGTAGCTATCCCTTGCCATTGAGCGCCGATAGGCTGACGGCGACCAGTCCTAGCACAAACAGACAGTGCAGCAGTGTGGTGTACTGCGCTAGAGCCTAGCTGAATTTACCTTCGATAAAAAGCAAATTATTTTAATCGCTGGCATTCTTCCACTTAATAACAAAATATTGTTTTAACTCTTTTTCAAACATCTGCATGTTTTTGGACCTTCCTACAGTATCATGTTCTTTCTAGTTGTTAGGTCGACGAATTGTGTTGTATACATGCATTTTGCGATCATATCTAGCATTCACGATGTCAATAAAGTTTTTGACCCAACACTCTCGTAAGTCATCATAAACATGTGCGCTTAATCCGACGACACTTGCGATGGTAGTTCATTGTTCTGCTTAGGTTTATTACATTACTATAGTGATTATTATACCAGAAATGTAAAGAAAGATTGTACTATTAATAAATAAATACAACAATACAACTTGATTTTATTAAGAAAAATACACATTATCACTTTGTAAAACGTGTGCAATCAGACTTTTTTACAGTAATAATTGATAGATGATGTTGTCATCAGGTGCAAAGATCATTCGTAAAATCGACTATTCGTAAAATGGACGTTTTACTGTACTGGTATTGAAATTTCCTATTGAATTCACTTAGATCTACAGCAAAACTAATTATAATTCCAATATGTTTTATCATTTTCTTCATTATCTGGGCTAAATGATTGTACATATTTTATAGCTTCTTGGACTTTAAGCAAGTTACATTTTGAACCAATGTTGATTTTATTTTCAAACTTACTGTATTTTGAAATTTGTAACTAAAATGCAGAAAAAAAAAATCAACATATTTTGTTATGCTGGTTATAAATAAACTTAAGAAAATTTTTGAAGTGTACTATAACATTCTTTAAGAGTTATGATCCAAGCAGTTAGGCATACATTACCCTATTCATACCCAGGAAAGGTATGGAGTAGGCTATTATTCCTTTGGGAATACACATGGCATAATTGCACTAAATCATTTGCTTTTTGACAAGGACATGACCTCTTCTCTCTAGTTCTGAAAGAAAATTCTGAGAATGAGATTAATATTTTTAGAGCTTTATATAATAGACGTTAGGCATTGTATTAATATAATAGTTTATCAAGCTGATCCCGTTCAGTAGGAGAGTGACAATCCATCTTTAATCATAGCTCTTATTTTAAGTATTGTTTTCAACATTATTTTCTACAAGCAGCACACAGCCTATTTTAAATCAAAGATTTTGCTGAAAATTCTCCAATGAAAATTCTGTACTCTCAGCAGGAAATTTCACAATAAATTACATTGAAATATAAATTTCAATTCAAAAGTCCTTGATCTTCTCAAGGATGAGTGAGGTGATCTTTATGGTGAGTCATGGATCAAACCAGGAGGTCTACCATATTATGATAAAAGAAAGCATGTTCCAATGTTATAAACAGTCATTTTATGCAGTGGTCTGATATTTTTTTCATGCAGGTTTGTTTAAATTGTAGACATTTTTAGAAATAAATTATAAACTTAAATTGTATTTCAATTCATCAGCTCCCTCGATTGGCTACAGTGTCACAGTTCCTGATTTGGTAGTGTACTGTATTGACGTTCATTACCATTGATCTATTGATGCATTTTTCCAAGTTTTAACAATTATCTTATCTTGTACTCAATCTTCTTTACGTTTTAACTTAAAGTGCTGTTGAAATCATTGTATTGTTGAATGGGAGATTTGTAGGGGTAGGAATGCCAAAGTGTGGTAATTGTATAATGATAAACTCAGAGCTTCCCTGTCTTACTTGTTATGCATCGGTGGTCATGAAGAATGTGACCTATGACCCATGGCCTTGCACGTAATAACATAGAAAATAACACCTCTAGCTAATCTTCATTCATCTTGCAAACAAATGCAATTCATAGCTGCAACTCAATATATCTTGCTCTTCCTTCCCATTTTTCATAGTACAACTTCAGTACCAGTAGTTAGTAGTAGTAATGTCTGTATACTGTGCCTTGTGTTTGTACCAAATCTCCGTTCTTGTTTTGTTCACTGTGTAATCCAGTTGAATGTGGCTACATACAGTAATGGAATAATTTATGGCTTTTGGATCATTACTCTATCCTGCTATCTAGGCAGATTCATCCCCCTGGAAGTCCCCATAATGTTCTTTGTGCCATTAATTTATGACTTATTTGAAGCCCATTCTAACCACATGAGGTAAAAAATGGCAGCTACCATCCAAAGCTGGTT